CTTTTCCAAATGTGCCTCAGCTCCAGGCATAATAGGAACCTAGGTCATCTGATGCCAGCGTCAGCTTTCCGAACTGTTCATAATCCGGCGTCCCTTTCTGTACTGGATTTTCTATTTCTGCCAAAACAGATGACCACAGACGTAATGGCTGGAAACAGCACCCATTTATCGGCTCAGAGTTCTCAGGCCTGAAGTCCAGGCATGATGTGACTGTGTTCTCTGCTCTGTTCTCACAAGGCCAAAGCCAAGGTGAGGCCAGTATTTTCATGTGAAACTCGGCCCCCTTCAAGCTCCCGTGGTTCTGGCAGAATTCAGGTTTCTGTGGTCATGGGACTGAGGTCCTCACTTTTCTGCTGGCTGTCAGCTGGAGGCTGCTTTTAGCTCTCAAGGAACGTCACCCGCATTCCTCGCCGTGTGGCCCCCTCCATCTTTAAAGCCAGCGAAGGAGAACCTCCCTCTAATTCCTCTAATAATTTGAATCGCCTACTTCAGGAAAAGCCCAGTCCTTTCTAACAGCATGTGATTGGGTCAAGCTCACCCCAGATGAACTTCCTTTCTTAAAGTCCACTCTGCAGTATGACATGCCCCAATCACGATAGTGAGGATTTCCTGGGGTTCCTCAGGGAATATGTACCAGAGGCAGGAATCACGAGACTGTCTTGGAATTCCACCTACTTACAAATGCCTTCCTGTGCCCATCATGTATTCTGGTTTACATTCAAGTGCTACACCTTGAATGCTCCCTGCTAACCCCAATGGGCCTTGAGGGGATAGGGGCAGCCTATTTACCAACCTGTTTAGAGCATTTTCCTATGAGTACAGTCATGTATATTCCCACAGAAGAGTACAGCTATCTCCGTCTGAGATGTGAGCACATCCACCTCCATTCCTCTTCCTCCAGTTTTATCTTGTTTCTAAAGCTCAGGGAATGTACATTTTAATCCAGGATGTATGAGAGAGAAAGTAGGAAGTTGGTATAGATGCTTGTGACCACAAATAGGGAGACTGAGTCTGAGAAAAGACTTCCAGCCCAGTGGTCTCCCCAGGAAGCCCTGCTGACCCCCAAGTGAGGCTCCTACCAAGTTGCTGTGGCCCCGACCCCTGACATTCTAGACCATGTCATGACACGGAGTTTTCCTCCCTGTGGGTGGGTGATGTTTGGAATTCTTAACCCAGAGGTCTATCTAAATGGAAGTCAGAGTCACCAATGCGTCATCTGAAACACAGCTTCCTTCGATTTTTGCCTCTTTTGAGTCTTCCTCCACTTGTGTTTTCCTATCAAAGGGATTAAACCCCTTTGCTGGACTTGAAGCTCGGTCTTTTAGAAAAGCTTTCATCATGTCTCAGCACAGCTTCCCATTCACAGACACAGGAGAGGATGGAAGACGAGCAGTAGCAGGCTTGATGAGGATTAGTAGGATTTGCTCAAGTCAGTGTCTTTCCCTGGTCCTGCAGAGAGCAGCTAGGAGACAGCTTGCCTTGGCCGGCCACAGCATTCCTCCCTGTCTTTCCTCTACAGACAGTTCTGCAAAAACCCTCAAATATCAACTATGGGAGGACTGGCTCTGTGTTTATCTTCTTCACTGCTTTATGTCCAGCTCCTAGCACAGGGGCTTGGCTATAGTAGTTCCTCAATTAATGTGTGCTGAATGAGTACATAATTAATAGAACGGATCTTGAAAATCTGATTAAAGAACGTCATCTCCATTGTCCCTGAAAATCCTTTTGACTTGATAGGCACACAGCACTGAAGGCCAGGGCTTCCAGGATGGTCATTTTACTTACCTTTAAAAGAAATCTGAACAGCAGGGGCTCCATGCCACTCAGTCCAATGTTTGCCCTGCAAATTGCCCACTGGCCCTTTAGCTACTTGTCTTAGATATTCTCTACCTCTCTTTCTTCATCTTTAAAGTGGGGTTAACAGGACAATGCATTAAATTTCAATCTGAGGAGAGATTATGAACCACGTTCATCTATACTTACGTTTGTATTATGTGTTTTTTCCATGAGTCCCTACAATTGGCTCCCAGGGCTGGAGACACAGAGAATATTATCTGGGATTTATAGCAGAGTAAACTGAGGCAAAGGACGTTAAGATTGTTTTTTCTTTGGACCACAAAGCAGGTTTGTTGGACACTGAGTTCAAATCCAAATGTTACTCTGGGTTGAGTCAGGAATGACGTCTGCCGATGATGCCTACGCACAGAAATGCATCCCAATGTCACATCAAAAGTAAACTACCTTTCCTACCTCCTGGACGAAAAAGTGTTCATATCTGGGCTGAAATGTCCTAGAAAACATTTTCCCATTTCTAGCAGAGCACAAAGCCTTCGCCTACAAGAATGTATGCAAGTATGTTTAAAAATAAAGAAGGAAACAGTGCAGAAAATCAGCAGCAAGCTGTTTTCCCCAAAGAGCTGAGCACAGGAGGATATGAGTTCCCATGTGCCCCGGCTGATGACTCATTCCTGTGGGCATTGTGCCTGCCCTGCCCAACCTCAGTGGCCCAGGGAGTCTGCAGCAGCGCCCCCATTGGAACCCTATCTCAGTTCTAGCAGCTGGGATGTCCAGAATACACAGGGCCTTGGGACAGCAGCATTTCCCACCATCTCTGAGCATCTGTGATCGGGCTTTCAGGATTAAGTCTCCCACTTAAGGCAGAGCAAATTCCTGCTTGGGATTTTGCAGAGAAGCCCCAAGCCTTTTCCTCTTTGTCTCATTTATCTTTGTTAAATGCCACATGAAGGAGCAGGAAGCAGGTGGCCCTATGCAGAATGGGAAATGGCCAATGGACATCTGGGACAAATAGCCCTTCAGATGACCCTTCCATATGATGTTTTAAAGGTTACCTTGAAATTGCTACAACCACCCAGGCAGCACAGGAAAAGGCCCGCCAGGGTCCCCAGACTTCCCAGGACATGTGGAATCTACCTTGGTTTGCTGTTGAGGCAGCTGACTCAGTGGTCGACAACCTTTTACCAGATTGTTCTATGGGGACATAGCTTCCTGGTATGGTGTTCTGCCTGGCAGAACCTGCCGCTAGAGTCACCCCTGGAATGGTGGCAGGGAAACACCTGCAGGGGACTCCTCAAACCATCTGCAAATGGGGTCTGTTGAGAAGGCACTAAACGCCAAAGCACGTCTTAGGGAAACTTACATGGAGAGTGCTGCAGCGGTCCTGATGACCCCTGCATGTCATGAGGTCCTCATGACTCCGGCAGAGCCAAAGAGAGGCTCTGCTTAGCAATGTCTACAACAAGGGCTCTGGGTTATGGAGTGATTCGGCCTAAGGTCAGGCTAATTCCTATCTGTTTCGCAACATATTTGATCTTTCAGTATTTCAGGTAACAACCTAAGCGGGGTTTCAGTGCTTGGGAATGTTTCCAGGGCTCAGGCCTGCAGGGAAAGACATGAAACTGGCCAGGTGACAGAGCAGCCTTGGCATCTGGTGTCTCTTGATCAGGACAGATAAGTCAGTGGGGATTCCTGGGGGAGCCCACACCTGGGAAGGAGGGTACCTGTGAATTCAAGGAAAGCTTGCTTATAAAGAGGAAGAAGGGCTGATGGATAGTATCCCTAAGGTGACGTTCCCCTAGGCCAGAAGCTCATAGAACTTTCTGGAGGGAGCAGGTCATCAGCCTAAGCATGAGCATCAGTGTCTGATGGCTGTTGTGTGGTGAGTGTTGTGGGTGGGCCCTCAGACTGCAGTCAGATAAACCTAGATCCAAAACCTCAGCTGGCCACATGCTACATGAGCTTCATTCTTCTCTTCAGAAAAAATGAAGGGATAATAACAGTATTTATCAAATCATATTGTGAAGATTAAATTAGCTAAAGAATAAAAATTTCCAAGTGCAGTGCCTGGCTTATGAGTGCCCAGAAATGTGGTCTGTTATTGTTAATTGAAGAAGTCTCTCCTAACTGCATGAGAGTCTCAAAGCGTGTTAAACGGGTTTTGAGCGAAACATCAGACACCTGTATTGCAGTGTCTGGGTGCCTCCTGGAAGTGTGGCAGGTACCCTCAAAACATGTTATGCCCTTTGAAGAGCCTTGGGGGCATTCACATCCTGTCCATTTCAAGTTCTTAAAGGACAGAGAACAACAAAATCAAATTTTCTAATGGTAGGCCTCCGCAGCAATTTGTCGTTTTAACAAGTGCTCAGAGGGCCTCAGACTTCATGCTCAGACGACAGGAGAGACCAATTGACAAATCAGACATATGCGCCTTTTCCTTTCTGTCTGCTGCTAAAAGACCTCAAAGTAAATGGAGTCAGCAAGAAATGCAAGAAACAGCACAGGCTTGGGCCAGACGAGCAGGAATCCAGATATCAGCTCTGCCTGATATTTGGTGGCCTGGGTGTCACTTAACCTCCTTGAAACCCTGATTTCTTACTTATCCATCCAAGTATTTAATAAATACTTTTAAAATACATATATGTGCCAGGCTATGTTCTAAGTGCTTGGAATATCAGAGAACAAAACGAACACAGACCATGTCCCTGTTGAGCTTACTTTCTATGGGCGGGAGAGAGACAGTTAGAATTAAGCCTGATCCATAAGCAAACAATATAGTGTTTATATAACGGGGATTCCAATGGCTAATGCCAGTGAGTTGCTGTGGCAATAATAAGATGACGTGTAATGCATGGGACATAGTAGGCATTTAATAAACTGTTGTGATTATTCTTTTTAAAATTGCTCCCAGAGTTATCAAATCCTTTAAATAATTAATGTGTAGTTTGCACCTAGGTATTGTTCATTTATTCATTCAACAAACAGCAATTGAGCATCTACTATGTTCTAGAATCTGTACTAGGCACCAGGGATACAAAAGAACCCTATAAGAGAGTGCAGCCCCTGCCTTTGAGGATTTCACCCTCTGACCCCTGGATAGCAGAGGACAAGCCAGGGAGAGCCCTGGGGTGGGGGCTGCCTTCTCTCTTGGATTCTCCTGAATCAGAACAGCCCAGCTCACTGATGGTGTCTTTTTTAACTCAAAGCATCCCAGCTATGGCTGGGGATTCTAGGAATGCCATGAACCAGGGCATGGAGATTGGAGTTACTCCCTGGGACCCCAAGAAGATTCCCAAACAGGCCCGCGATTACGTCCCCATTACCACAGACCGCACGCGCCTGCTGGCCGAGGGCAAGAAGCCGCGCCAGCGCTACATGGAGAAGAGCGGCAAGTGCAACGTGCACCACGGCAACGTCCAGGAGACCTACCGGTACCTGAGCGACCTTTTCACCACCCTGGTGGACCTCAAGTGGCGCTTCAACCTGCTCGTCTTCACCATGGTTTACACTGTCACCTGGCTGTTCTTCGGCTTCATTTGGTGGCTCATCGCTTATATCCGGGGTGACCTGGACCACGTTGGCGACCGAGAGTGGATTCCTTGCGTTGAAAACCTCAGTGGCTTCGTGTCCGCTTTCCTGTTCTCCATTGAGACCGAAACGACCATTGGGTACGGCTTCCGAGTCATCACAGAGAAGTGTCCAGAGGGGATCATACTCCTGTTGGTCCAGGCCATCCTGGGCTCCATCGTCAATGCCTTCATGGTGGGGTGCATGTTCGTCAAGATCAGCCAGCCCAAGAAGAGAGCAGAGACCCTCATGTTTTCCAACAACGCGGTCATCTCCATGCGGGATGAGAAGCTGTGCCTCATGTTCCGGGTGGGCGACCTCCGCAACTCCCACATCGTGGAGGCCTCCATCCGCGCCAAGCTCATCAAGTCCCGGCAGACCAAAGAGGGGGAGTTCATCCCCCTGAACCAAACCGACATCAACGTGGGCTTCGACACGGGCGACGACCGCCTCTTCCTGGTGTCTCCCCTCATCATCTCCCACGAGATCAACGAGAAGAGCCCTTTCTGGGAGATGTCTCAGGCTCAGCTACATCAGGAGGAGTTCGAAGTCGTGGTCATTCTAGAAGGGATGGTGGAAGCCACAGGTAAGATGCTTTGTTCTCCTCAGCCACAGATGGTCCTACCCACACTTCTGACTTAGCTACTGTAACTCCAGAAGATGCAGGCCAGTGCCTGAGTGTCCTGGGATGGCCCAGGCAGCAGGTTCAATCCCTAAAGTGTTAGCTACTCAAGATAGCTAATGCCGGCAGGACCTTCCCAACTTCAGGCACTGTCCTAAACCATAAACATCTATTATCTGGCTGAATGTCCTCCCATGCCCTAGGATAGTTTCTGTTAAGGTACAGATAAAGAAACAGGGACACAGACAGGCTAAATTACTTACCCAAGAGCAAGCGCTTTCAAGAGAGAATCAGGGTGGACATCGAGGCAGGGGACCCCAGAGCCAGCGCTTGGTTCCAACATGCCAAACTGCCCCTTCTCGGAACAGGTGTTCTACCCAGAAGAGCTTGCTGGTCAGATGGGTAATCTGATCTCCTGGTAATCATAGAGCAAAACAAAAGCGATCTGGTTTCTCTGCGGTGGGCTTCTCTCTGTCCTTATACACTGAGTCTCATCACTGGGAAAGGAGGGGATGCAGAGTTCCCTACACTAATAAGGGTTCTCACCAATCCTTTACTTGGAGAGACCTTTGCTGCAGGGGAGGGGCTCTTCAGGCTGGGCCCCCTCTGGAGCAGCCAGCCCTCAACGTTCTTACAGGAGGTTCGTGTAGAACCCAGGGCAGGCAAGGCTCCTTTCTCACCCCTACCCCACTAAAAAAAAAAAAAAACAGTGCATCCATGCTAAGGCATCAACAACCACGTATGCCTAAGAAAATGCCCTCTTTGTGGCCAGCATGGCACTTCCCCGCTCAGCTCCTGACTCAACAGTAGCTGGTAGTCAAGGAACCCCCCCGCCATTCCTCAGCCACTCGGCCATGGTAGAACTCTATGAGGTGGCTCCAGGGAGGCCAAGGCCTGGGGGCACCTGAGCTCTGGCTGAGGACCCTAGTCCCCACCCCACCCAACATCCTGCTTATTTCATTTCTGTCTCCTGCCTTCTCTCTCTCTCTCTCTCTCTCTCTCATACAATGAGCAGCTGGTCAGGCCCTAAGATGGGTTCTAGAACTCATTCATGCTCAGAAGGTGCTTGTCTATTTTTCTCATTCTTGCAAACAACCATGTAGGGCTGGCTTCAGGCTCATCTTACAGATGTGGAAGCGGAACTTCAAAAGCACTGTGTAGACAGCGAGTGTTCATACTCAGCTCTTCCACATATAAATCTGGAGATTCTCTCACCACTCTGGTCCCCTAAAATACTAAAGGCCTGTCAGAAAGATAGCCAAGCACACCTTGCAGCCCCCAGGAAGCTGGCTGCCGGGCAGGGGACTCAGACCCGGCCTCCAGAAGCCTTCCCATTTTGAAGTCGGTGGAAGCAGGAGAAAGTAATGACAAGCTCCAGGGACTGGTGCCTGAGGGGGCTGCTCGGCCATCTGCTGGGGGCTGGAGCCTGGCAGGCAACATATGGTGGCAGGCGGGCAGCCCCTAGGGCCGGGGACAGTCAGGACACTGGAGGCTTTCCCTTGCAGAGCTAGGGCCTGGCAGGTCACCCTGTCCTTGGCTCCAGGGTCAGAATCAGGACACAGGCTGCATTTCAGGGGAAGAGCTCCACCCTGAAGCCACACGAAAAGGATTGGATGAGAGACAAGCAGACAAATCATACCATTCCTGACCGCTCCCCAAGGCTGCCCTCACTCCCCAGCCACACAACAGGGAGAGCTCCCACAGGCTCATAGTGGAGGCAGCTGGTGCTATCTGCCCCGCTGGACCCCCAACCATACCTCACTCAAACTCAGGGGCCCACAGTCCATTGTCCTCATGCTTTGGCCTCCTCCCCTCTCACAACCTGAGCTATGCTTGCTCTGACCCAGAAACTGTAGGGGAGGGCTGGGGAAATAGGGCAGGAGACCTCGTACACATCTGTCCTGGGTGCGGATGGCTCGGTTGTCAGGCACGTGCAGCCAGGTGTGGGCTGGGAGTCCATGCCTTGGCTTGAGTAGCACAGGTCTGCCGTATCCCTCCCGAGCGGGGCTGAGCAAGCTGCTTACCTTGTCAGCAAAGTGAGGAAAATCAGTCTCCTCGGGCAGCTGGGAGGATTCAAGGTGAAAAGGAGCACCCTGTGCTGAGCACCATACCTGCCACCTGGAGAATCCTTTCCAAATGCACTGAGAAATGACAGGGACACAGCAGGATCTCTAGCTACAGGACAGCCGCTGCCACACCCCACGAGTAGCAGGAGGAGTCCAAAGGGGCTTTCCCTAAAGGGCCAAGGTCCTGCCCATGCCTTTCCCAAGGCCCTGGGAGCCTGCACACATCTGGCATAGTCTAGGCTGCTTTGGGCCTCTCTGCAGAGATTGTGGGGGCAAGGGTGAGGACTGAAGGGAGAGGTCCAGGCAGGCATCCCCAAGAGCAGAGAGCAGGGTGTGAGCCCATCTGTGTGGGTGCGCTGGGGCTGAGAAGCAGCCTTGGGCCTGGGTCTGGTTTGTACAAGCCCCCAGAGAAAGCCCAAAGTGGGAGGCAGAGGTGGGTGCCTTCAGCACCCAACCAGCACAGTTAATGCCTTCCTCGGCAAGAAGATTAAATATCAGAAAGCTGCTTTCCTGTGACCCTAAGCACAGAGGCCTCCTCATCCATAAACAAAGCTTCCCTCCCTCTCTGGAGAGAAAGCAACACCTAAAAATAGCACAGGCATGGCACGGGCTGAGTAGACAGGGAAACAAGGCATTGGAGCAGCCTCAAATCAAGAAGCCAAGCTGTGTGTGTGTGTCTGCTCCTCTTACTGTATGTATGTGTGTGTGTGTGTGTGAGCGTGGAGCCCTCTCTCCATATGTGTCTACCCAAAACAATCTCCATATGTTCCAAATGCCTGTCAGATTCTCCATGTTGATTCATGCTTAATTTACCTTTGCCCTTTCCTGCCTTTTTTCCCATCTCAGTCTTCTCGAAGTGAATGCTGTTTTCAGGAACCAAGTCCCTGCCTTCAACCATTCCAACATCTATTCACTCCAGTCTCTAGGAAACGACTTCCAGAATCTTGCATGTTGATTTCTAATTTTCTGCCACCACCATGCCTTGAAATGCCCAGGGAAAGGACTGTGTCCTATTCAGCTTTACATCTTGACTGCACTTAGCACAAAGTAGATGTTCGAGAAATGCTTGATGAATGATTGGATGAATGAAGGGATGCATGAAGGTATGGATGATTGATGGATGGATGAATGATGATTGGATGGACGGGTAATTGGGTAGATGGGTGGATGGATAGATGGGGGATAGTAAAGATGATTGGATGAATAGATGAATAAATAATTGGATGGAGAGATGGATGATTGGATGGATAGATGGATGGATGAATGGATAGCTGGCTGGATGGATGAATGGATGGATATATCTTTGCCCTTTCCTGCCTTTTTTCCATATCTGGAGGGATAGATGATTAGATGGATGGATGGATGGATGGATGGATAGCTGGATGGATGGATGACTGGATGGATATAACTTTGCCCTTTCCTGTCTTTTTTCCATATCTGGATGGATAGATGGTTATACGGATGGATGGATGGATGGATGGATGGATAACTGGATGGATGAATAAATGGATGGATTTATCTGAGTTCCCAAACAGCATACTCATGTATTTTTTCCATATCTGGTTGGATGGATGGATGGATGGATAGATGATTGGATGGATGGATGGATGATTGGATAGATGATTGTGTGTATGTATGTATGTATGTATGCATAAATGGATGGATAAATTGGATGGATGGATGAATGGATGATTGGATAGATGAATGATAGATGATTGGATGGATGGATGGATGGATAGCTGGTTGGATGAATGAATGGATGGATATATCTTTGCCCTTTCCTGCCTTTTTCCATATCTGGATGGATAGATGATTGGATGGATGGATGGATGGATGACCGGATGGATGGATAAATGGATGGATGTATCTTTGCTCTTTCCTGTCTTTTTTCCATATCTGGATGGATAGATGATTTGATGGATGGATGGATGGATGGATGGATGGATATATCTTTGCCCTTTCCTGCCTTTTTTCCCATATCTGGATGGATGGATGGATGGATAGATGGATGGATAGATGATTGGATGGATGATTGGGTGGATGATTGTATGTGTGTAGGTAGGTAGGTATAAATGGATGAATAAATGGATGGATAAATGGGTAGATGGGTGGTGGGTGGATGGATGGATGGGTGGATGGATGGATGGATGGATGGATGGATAGATGGATGGGTGGATGGATGGATGGATGGATGGATGGATAGATGGATGGATGGATGGATGGATAGATGGATGATTGCATTGTAATGCATATAACTTCTGTATCCTCAGGGATGACCTGCCAAGCCCGGAGCTCCTACATGGATACAGAGGTGCTCTGGGGCCACCGATTCACACCAGTCCTCACCTTGGAAAAGGGCTTCTATGAGGTGGACTACAACACCTTCCACGACACCTATGAGACCAACACACCCAGCTGCTGTGCCAAGGAGCTGGCCGAAATGAAGCGGGAAGGCCGGCTCCTCCAGTACCTCCCCAGCCCCCCACTGCTGGGGGGCTATGCTGAGGCAGAGGTGGATGCAGAGGCTGAGCAGAATGAGGAAGATGAGCCCAAGAGGCTGGGTGGGTCCAGGGAGGCCAGGGGCTCAGTGTGAGAGCTGCAGTCTCCCTAAGACCTCATGTCACTGGCTTCAGTGAGCACAGACACTGCAGAGCCTGGGGGCAGAGGAGGGGAATAGTTGAGTGTGCTTTTTGGGGGCTCAGAGGCCATCAAGGCTGTGGGGAGGAACCATGTAGTCAGCCCTCACAGCTCCCAGCACAGGGCCTCCCTGAGCCAGTGGCATCCTGTCTGGGCCCCCCATGGCAGTGCCGCCTCCTGAGGTTGCTGGCTAAAGCCAGGCCAGGATGAGTTTCCTCATGGTGAATGTTGCAGGGTGGTGTCTGTTCTCTCTCTGCCCTGGGTCACTTCCTTTTTTGAGTCTCACATAGCACTCCAGCAACTGACACCGAGAGAAGGCTGTCACCTTGTCCCCTCATTCCTTCCACCCTGAGGCTTGCTGTGGATCCAGAGAGGAGCCTTGCCTGATGGAAGCTCAAACCTCCAGTCTGGGATGAGTTCACAGAGCCCTCATGGGTTAAGGTCCATCTATGTCACGTAGGCAATTCCTTTTAAATCAGATACCGACGACCCATGACTGCGAGCTAAAGAGCATACAGCCCTTGGTGTTCTCTGCTATCTGCCAAGTATGTGTGTTTTTCCTCTGCTGTGTTCTGTGTGTTCAATGTAGCCTATTGAAGATTCTATCTCATTAGAGTGACTCTTAGAAGGTGGCCTGGGACTAGACAGCCCCTCTGAGCACATGCATAGTGGCATCAGCAGCTTCCTGCCATACTCCCAATCACACTGTACCCTGCACCTCCCACCAAAGGGGAACCCCAGCAGCTGGAGTTTTTCTAGTGCTTTTTGGCCCAAGAATCTCAGAGAGTTTCTAATCATCACAGTAGTTTTTTTTGTTGTTGTTTGTTTTTTGTTTTGTTTTGTTTTGTTTTACAATCTCCGCGAACCTGTGGTGTGACCTGGGGAGAGAGCTGAGTGTCAGGGGGCACAATGAGCTAGGTGGCTGTGAAACAGGGAGCATTTTAAAATCAGCATCTGTCCCCAGTTGTGGCCGAGACACCCTGACCTCAAGGCTCAGCCCTTTTGCCATCAAGGCAGATGATGGGATGTAAATCAAAAGCAACAGGTGATTGCAGTGGCAGCTTCACCATCAAGCCCAGCCTGGACCAAACTCCCAGCCTCGTGCTGAAAAGCCCCAGGGCCTCCCTCTGCAGGCAGGGTTACAACCGGGAGGGCGGGGTAGAGAGGGCAGGGAGGATGCCCTGGGGAAGGCAACGGGAGTGGCTGCCCCTCCACCCCCAGGCTGGAAACAAGAGGGCAAGGGGGCTCAGCAGGAGGCTTGGGGGATAGACTGAGTATTAGGAGGAAAAACGTAGAGAAGAGTCTGAAAATCAGCAACTTCAATGGCTTTTCTGATCTGGAGGTCCAGGAAGAGCGAGGGTGGAAGCAGGCAGATTGTCAGGTACTGAAACAGGCTGGTCTGACTTGGAGAGAGAGTGCCCATGTTCCCAGACCACAGAAGTATGAAGGCCTCACCCACAGTCTCTAAAGCTCTCAAATGGCCTTTGAGAATGGAAGTCTTTCCCTGCCCTGGACATGTCGCTCCTCCCTGGAAGAGGAGCAGAGCCATAGAGAAGTAGGAAGTTGAGACAGCAAAGGGAAGGCTTCAGAGCTCAGGCCAGGCTCATCTCAGGCGGGTTTTCTGGAAGGAAGAGGAGGGGGGCAGCCTGGGACAGTGACTGCCTCTGTGGGCTGCTCACTCCCAGGGAGGGTCTCTGTGGGCTTCGCTCCTGGGCTGGATTTTGAGAGGTGGGCAGGGTGCCATGGCCATGTGAGGTATTCCCACCAGTGGCAGGGCATGGGGTCGTGGTCCCAGGTATCCTTCAGGGGGAAGCAGGACTTGGAGGGAATGGGGAATGGGCTGGCACGCCACTCAAGGAAAGAGGAAGCAGACAGTGCCCCAGCAGGGGAGCTGTGTGTCCCCAGGAGTCTCGGACAGGGAGCCCTTCACTAAGGCTGGGTGCCTTTCAGAGGAGCTACAGCTGGAACCTCCGGCTGGGCCCAGCACTCACCCAGGGTACCCCAGACCCCAGGGTTATTAACAGGAAAAGCATTCCACACCCCCTTGCGGGATCTAAGTCTGTCTTTGGACCAGTCAGTCCCCCCAGGTTAGAGCCCATGACGGGGTCAGCTAAGCAAGGGAGGGAAGGTGAAGGCGAAGGCAGCCTGGCACCTGGATATCAACCTGGCTCCTCCCCATACCTGCCTTCATTTATGACTCTGAAACATCCCCCACGTGACCAAGGGAGCCATTGTCTCGTTCTCTCACTCCATCAGGGCCCTCCATGAGCCAGGACCAAGTCACACCTCTCAGCCACGTCTAGAAGCTCTGGGTAGAGGAGAGGAAGAATGCAGAGGGTCCTATGGCAAAGCTCCCTGCCTGGCTTGAGCCTGGGCATACTGGCAGCAGTGCAGCCTGGCCCCAGTGTGCCTCCTCTGCCTTCTACCAATTTAAAAGCAAGAAGACCCCCTTCACATCCCGAGGAAATCTCCTACTGGGTGACCAGTTGATCCAATGAAAGTTTGAAAAGTTCTTCCTTTTCTACAAGTTATTGATTAAACACAGACTTACTAAATGCAAAGTCTGATGATGGACAGAGTTTCAAGGGGTCACTTTCAAAACAATTAATTTATGTAGAGACATGGTCTCACTCTGTCACCCAGGCTGGAGCGCAGTGGTACAACCTCTGCTTACTGCAACCTCTGTCACCTCCGAGGTTCAAGGGATTCTCATGCTTCAACCTTCCAAGAAGCTGAGATTACAGGCGCGAGCCACTGCTCCCGGCCATTTTCAAAACATTGCTCCTGTATACAAATCACTCAAAAGCCACAGCCCTTGGTTCTGTGATGGCTCTGAGCCCACGCCATCACATCTGATGGACTCCAGAGAGCTGAGACCCGCTTTAAGATGGGGTCGTGCACTCACTGGTCATTTCCACAGTCTTCAGTATCTCCAAAATCCCAAAGTGATATTTCACTTTCAGACACTGAACGTTTGGAGAGCTGGTTTCTTGCCTTAATTTAAGCCCTCTGAGAATGTCCGCTGTAAGGGAGAAGCCTCCAGGAACTTAGAGAGAACTCGTTCCCACTGGTTTTCCTGCTCCACCAATCTGACATCTAACAGATGCTGTCACCAGTGCTGGAAGGATCGTGTCCCCAGGCCAGGGCAGAACGAGCACTGCCCGTGACTCTCCCCTTCAGACTCCACTCCCGCTGGCCTCCCGTGTAGTCAGGGAGCCCACTGCCCATCACCTCCTACTGCTGCTTTGAGGTTGAGGTCCTGGCTTGAGCAATTACCTTGCTGGAGGAGAGGACCCCCTGCTGTCTGGGGAGCATCATCATTGCTCATGATCTGTAACAGTGGGGTGACCTTTTCACACCCCTTATCTCATGGCTTGCCTTCCAGCCCCCCTCAATCCTGTGCCTCATATGAGGTGAGTCCCAGAGAAACTTAAATTGCTTGTACTGAAGTTGCCAAAAAACAAACGTTGCCCATTGTCTTTTGAGACGGTGCCCTGAAAACACCTCTGCCAAGCACCACTGAGCATGTGTTAGGTGCCTGCCGTGGGTCAGACACTTGATTCTCAAAACACTGCTGAGAAGCTCTTAGTAACCCCTTACCAATGGGACAGTTGAGGCTTAGCGAGGTTTATGAGCTTCCTAAGGCCACGGGTAGTAATGTGAGGCAGGGTCTTGGTGCCCAGCGCCTCCCAAACAAACAGCAGGGGTCATGATCCTGCCCAAACTCTTGTGCCCATGGCTCCTTGCTGGGCCTGGGCAACAGAGATCAGAGGAGCCCTGGTCAGGGTGGCATCGTGGGCTGTACTGTAGAGTCCCAGCTTCCACGCACAATGTGCCCCTGTGGCGGGAAAATTGGGAAACAACCTTTCTCTAGTTCCCAGAGAGCTAATGAGCTGCAGAAAGAGATTAGACAGCGAAGAATTGCTTTCGGGGAGAAGCCACTTATCGGCTCGCCTTGGTTTCTGCTAACAACGTCTCCTTAAACTGCTGTCAAATCTTTTCCTCCCTGGGTAGGTTTCATCAATCTTCTTATGAAAAAGAACACAACTGCAGCATTAACAATTCACTCAATAAAATGGACTTGACCTCGCAGAACTCCTTCTCATTTTAAACATACGGCCAGCAGTTTCCTGTTTAAACTCATTACCAGTTTTAGAAACTTTGTTTTTCTTGGTTTTGTTAATCTAAAAATGTAGTATCAACATCTAGACTGGTTTCGAGGTGGAAGAATGGGCAAAGGTGGGGCAGAGATGGCCGGACCGGGGCAGCTGCACCAGGTGTTTGGAGGTAGAGCTGGTGACAAATGTAGGCGGTGCGGGCAGTGTGGGTTCTCACATTAAGTCATTCGTTCCAGCCCCAAATACCTTCTGTACATTCTTTAATGTCAAATATTCAGAACCCACATTAACTATGTAATGAGTAACTTTAAAAATATCTACTTTAGGGGGCTACTGGACTAGCATTTTGCTTTCAGGGCATAAATTTGCAAAATGATTGCTTTTGCTGAACAGTAGGGAAGGGGCAGAGGAGGCTGTGATACCTCATGTTAGCAAAGAATCTCAGGATCTTTCAAGAGAAGTCCCAAAGTTTCCATTGGAAATGTCTTTAACAGTAGAGGATGTGATATTGGCTTCTCTTCTGCTCTGGTCACCCAGTGGTAATATTGAAGAGCTAAAATTTACTGAAAATCCCTCACAGACACTATCCTGAAAGGATAAAGTGGATCACCGGGGATCTGATTCAAAATGAGAAGCAGTGTTTTCAGCTGGGAAAGGCAGCACAGCCCTGATGTGTGTGGGGGTGTTTCCCTTGCCCCATGGCCCACCCACAGTAAACGGGCATCGGTGAATCTGTGTGTGGAACTTGGGCCAAAAGCACATGCTGAGCCTCAGAATCAGCCGTGAACAAGAGTATCTGGTGATGCTGAGGGTGAATTGCCTTCACGGTGGGAAAGACCCACACAAAAGCTAGGTAGGAGCTCTGGGGATGGCCCTTGCCTGGGGATGGCAGTACAATTACTGTTCAGTGTCAGGATGGAGACATGAGGTCAGGGGAAACGATGAATCTGTGAATTTGCACATTTGCCAGTCAAGCTCAGATAGCAATTCGAGGAAGGAGAACTAGACACATAATCTAATAAAAGCAACAATCTGAATGCTACCTGTAGAAAACTCACCCGGGCCCAGAAGATGCGCTCCGCTTGTTCCAGTCAGAAGACCAACACTGATGCATGCACAGCAGGTATCTCCTTAGACCTTGTTAGATCCCAGCCGTAAAGTGTGCTGACTTTCTTATGGTAAATAAATGTCTAGGAAGGAGTTTTGAAGACAGAAACATTGCTGACTTTTTCTCTAAGTGAGGATTTACATTGATTCAGAAGCTGCTATTCAAATAACCTTGGCTCACTTGGTGGAAGCAAAAATCTTAAATCCCAGAGGAGAAATTACTGAGAATTTGGGCACATTAACATATACTTGGAGCTTCATTTTTCTACCAAGTAAGCAAAAGCGTAAGCGGAGCCATCCTCGGCTGCGCTGGGCGGGTCTGCAGCAGTGAGTAAGGAGGTGACGTGTTGGAACACTGAGAACTCCTGTGTGCACCCACTGGATGCCACATTCCAAATTGCCTCTTTTTTTTTTTTTTTTTTTTTTTTTGAGACAGAGTCTTGTTCTGTTGCCCAGGCTGGAGTGCAATGGTGTAGTCTCGGCTCACTGGAACCTCTGCTTCCCAAGTTCAGGTGATTCTCCTGCTTCAGCCTCCCAAGTAGCTGGAATTACAGGCACCTGCCACCACACCAGGCTAACTTTTGTATTTTTAATGGAGATAGGGTTTCCCCATGTTGGCCAGGCTGGTCTTGAGCTCCTGACCTCAAGTAATCTACCCACCTTGTCCTCTCAACGTACTGGGATTACAGGTGTGAGCCACCATGCCTAGCCCCCAAATCACCTCTTAAATAAACATGCTCGTGAAACATGCAGCCAGCCCTGTGTGATATGAAGCTTCAAGGCAGTGACAGTATCCTCACCTCACCGTGTAGTTACCTGGGGAAGTGGGCGGACATGACCACTCAAGAATGCACTCACCTTCTCTCTCTCTACAGGGGCGACCCTGCTTGCTCTGGTTCATGGAAACAGCTAGGAAAGGAGGAAGCGCATATGCTGAACCCAGACTGTGCCCTGATGGATAAGAATGTGGCTGTTTAATCTCCTGGTGTCTTTCCCATTCAATAATTGCACTGGGAGAGCCTTACCCTCCTCCTCTTCAGATTAAGCACTCCACAAACACACCCTGTCTTTATATATAAGATAAAATCCTTCACACCTGTAATTCTAGCACCTTGGGAGGCCGAGGCAGGCGGATCACGAAGTCAAGAGATCGAGACCATCCTGGACAACATGGTGAAACCCCATCTCTACTAAAAATACAAAAAAATAGTTGGATGTGGTGGTGTGCACCTGTAGTCCCAGCTACTCGGGAGGCTGAGGCAGGAGAATTGCTTGAACCTGGGAGGTGGAGTTTGCAGTGAGCCAAGATTGTGCCACTGCACTCCAGCCTGGTGCCTGGTGACAAAGCGAGACTCTCTCTCAAAAAAAAAAAAAAAAAAAAAAATCCTGCCGGGACCACTCCTGTTCATGTCTCCCAGAACCCACGGCAGCAGCAGAGCCTGGATATTAGTCTGGGAGCTGATCATCCTGATCATTCCCTTTGGAATTGGTGGAGCTTTGCAGGGCGTTCCAACAACCATCTCATTGTGATAAAGGATTAAAATGACACCTCAGAAAATGTAGCGCCAACTCCACACAAGGGCCAAAGGATATCTGTCTTTTCATTATAATTTTCCCACATATTCATTATTCAGCAAATATTTAGTGAGCACCTACTATGTACCCAGAGCAGAAACAGGCACTGCAAACTCAGTGGTGATCAAGACTGTCTTAGTCCACTGGGGCTGCATTATAAAAATACCTTAGCATGGGTAATGTCTAAAGAGCAGAGGCTTCCTGCTCACAGTTCTGAAGGCTGGGAATGCCAAGATCAAGATCAGGCCGCCAGCAGATCAGGTATCTGGTGAGGGCCTGTTCCTCACAGATGGTACCTTCCAGGTGTCCTTACTTGGTGAAAGGGGCCAACAGGCTCCCTGAAGCCGCTTTCATAAGGGCACTCATCCATCATGAGGATCCGCTCTCATGACCTCATCACCACCCAAAGGCCCTGCTTCCTTGTGTCATCACCTTAGGGGCTAGGTTTCAGAAAAGGAATTTTAAGGGAACATAAATATTTAGACCATAGCAGAGATGATATGGTCTCTTGCCCTGGTGAAATTTGCTGCCTGGTGAGGAGAGGGAGAGACAGAGACAGAAAAAGCACACAAATCAAAGAATCACGGTTCACAATAAGGCCTATGAGGGAAACAAACGGGGCTGAGATCAGGAACGGCAGGGATGCCTCTGGGGAGGCTCTGAGGGGGGCCTGGGAGCTGGGTCTTGAAACAGAAGCAGGAATGAGCTCCTCTGGAAAGGGTTCTGGGGGAACAGCTGTATGCAAAGGTCCTGGGGGTGTAAGGGGCAGCTGTATCCAAAGAACTGGAAAAAGCCCAGGGAAGCAGCAGCCCTGGGGAAGGGGGAGCAGGGAGTCGGCCCAATCCTGGCTGGGAGCCAGGGCTGACAGTTCAGATCTCATGGCAGGTTCTGGGGAGAGCGCAGCAGGGGGCTTATGCGGGCGGTGTGGGGGCCTGGTATGAGTTCACCCTGAGATGGTGTAGCCTTTCCTCTCTCCTGGGTGTCACGGGTCATTAGCCACATTGGGGCATGATCTGAGCAGCTCTGTTGGGCTGTACTCAGCCCTGCCCTTTAAGGACTACAAGTCACAGGTCAATCTAGGTTCTTTTAATAAATATTTCCAAGTTGTAAACTCAGGAGTATTTCTGAGCCATCCTGGACAAATCCCTCCTAAGTAGTATCGCACATGCCCTGTGTGACAGAAGCTGGGCAGATTGTTTGAGGACCCTTCCCAGTGCCAAGGTCCATGGCCCACATCACTGCCCCATTTCCCCCCTGCCTGCACCCAGGGAATGGGCTCAGCCCGCCGCCTACGTAGGGTGCCATGTGGTACGTGGGCTCCTTACCAACGTGGCGAAGGCTTCCAGCTCACAGCCCTGACCCTGAGAGCTGGTTCCACATCCATTTCAAACAGGCAGCATCTGAAAGAGAAAACCAGTCTCTCTTCAAGGCCCTTAAAGTGTTCATCTTAAGAGAGAAATTGCATTTCTCAAAGCACTGCTCGTGCATCTGACATTTGCACATCTGGAAAGCTGGGATTGCTTGATGTGGCGCTCAGTGAAATCCAGCTCTCCCTTCGCCTCCCACCCTCTCCCTTTCATGATCCTCTTCCCAGCTCCAATCCTGGATTCCCTGGGCCCTGCCCTCTGCCTCCAGCTTTCCTACCTTCCATGCATAATGCCCCATATCCCAGCCAGGTTAACCATTCTCTGTGTATAAAAATCAGATTGCTCCTTTAAAAAAAAAAAAAAAAAAAACCTACAAACAGAACCCTTTCAAAGTGGAGGGCTTTGCAGTTGGTTCTTTACATGTAGAATTAGGGTGTTCCTAGAAGCCTTTTCGGGCCATCTTTTTAGGCTAGATGTAACTTGAAATCATTCACTAGTGGACTCAGCAAGCATTTGCCAAGCCCCTCTGTGTCCTGAGCACCTTGCCAGGACCTGGCTCAGTCCACGCCCTCTGGGAGCCCACAGCCAAGTGGGAAGGAGGGTTCTGCACTGATTGCTCTGATTCATTGCATAGAATAATTTTTGTTTATTTAAAAACATCTTTCTATTTTATAAAGAAAAATGTCCATGTCATTGGACAAGAACCAAGAACCAGGTTCTTGGACAAAAGGCAAGAACCCGGTAAAAACACATGGACGCATTCACACACACACACACACACACACACACACACAGAGAGAGAGAGAGAGAGAGAGAGAGAGATAGTGAAAGAAAAGACTAAACGTGCAGGGTTTGTTAACAAAAGCAATGATTTACCATCAAATCAGTATTAATGATTTACACCTTTAAAATGTGCCATCAAAAG